GGGAGGAGTCTGATGGGGGAGGAGTCTAGATGGGGGAGGAGTCTGGGGGAGGGTTCAGGCGACCCTGGGAAGGGCGCGCCCCCAGCAGGGCCTGTAATCCCACCTTTGCTGGGCAGCTGGGTCCAGCTGTGGGTCCTGCTCAGATAGTCCATCAAGAACCTCCCACCCTGGCCATCTGGTCTCCTGATACCTGCCCAGGCTCCTGTCCCCCAGCTGACCTCCAGCTGCCCAGGGTCTTACCAGACTCCTCACTCTGGCCTCCTTAGCCCAGACCGCAGGACCCCCCACCCCAGCACCAGCCTCTCATCGCAGGCTCCCTCTGTCCCCGAGTCTGGCACCACAATCACACGTTTGGCTTGGTTCCTTTTAATTGTCCTCAGGGGTGGACTAACCCTGAATGGTGGCTCCTAAGACAGGAAATGACGCCCTTGTGACCTGAGCATCCAAGGGCTGTCCCCAGGGTGCTCGGTGGCGGGGAGGGGCCAGGCAGTGCTGGGATGTGCCCAGAGCTGGTCCTGCTGTGCCGCGTCTCCGCCGTGACAGGGCCATGACAGGTGACCACAAAGCCCGAGCAGCTTCCTCTGGAAACCACCCTGCGGGTCCCAAGTGCGACAGGCTTCGCGGACCAGGGCGCCGTTTCCAGACGGTCCTGAACACCCGGGTCTGCGCCCTTCTGTGACGGCAGGACGGCCCGCGACGGGTGCCGTGACGCGTCGTGGGCATCGAGATGGCCAGGGAACACCGGCTCTGCAGGGCTGCGTGCAGGCTGCAGGACCAGCCTGTCGGCCACCTGCGGGGTTTAAAGGGACCTGGGACCCGGAGGTGGCACCCCAGCCACACAGCTGCAGGAGGTCCAGGTTGACCCAGTCACGGGCGCCTGCAGGGCCAGCGCCCAGGGAGCCCCCCAGCCTTGCCCGGGCCTGCCCAGGGGGCAGGAGGCTGGGAAACAGCCCAGGTGGGCTCCTTCAGTGCCCAGGGCCTCCGGCAGCAGGTGCCCATCAGGAGGGTCTAGGAAACGCTGGCCCTGGAGAAGCCAGCCTGAGGGGAGGGGGGTCTCAGGAGCCTCTGGCCTCAGGGGACGCTGCCCCCCCCGGGCTGCAAGGCCAGGTGCCCGAGCTCCAGGAGGCAGAGAGTAGAACACAGACCAGACCCCCTGTGACACTGTGGGGCCAGCAGACACAGGACCKCCCACTGGCCACCCCTCAGGCCCTCCAGTAACAGCTGGCCAAAGCAAGATGGACCAGGGTCCGCAGGAGCCTGCTGCCCRGGGAAAGGGCGATGTCAGAGTGAGGTGAGAGCCAGGCCATGTGTTGACCTCGGCAAGAGGGTCTCTGCACAGGTCCCCACCCCATCCRTCCAGGGGACGTCCACTCTTGGAAGCAGGGACTTTCTAAAGCACAGGGTGAGGAGGCGCTGACCCCTCTCCTAGCATCCACACCCTGCACAGGCCATGCTGCCGGTTGGGTTGAGTAGGCCTGGGTGACCAGGGCACACGGCTGGACGCATCCCCATGGTCATGGCTGACCAGGGCACACGGCTGGACGCATCCCCATGGTCATGGCTGACCAGGGCACACGGCTGGACGCATCCCCATGGTCATGGCTGACCAGGGTGCACCCACTGGCCCATCCCAACAGTCATGGTTGACCACAGGCACATTCGTTGGAGCCATCCCGTGGTCGCGGCTGACCAGAGCTCACCCGCTGGACCCATCCCAGTTGTCATCGTTGACCACAGACAAATCTGCTGGACCCATCGTGATGGCCATGCCYATGAGCACATCCATGGCTGACCAGGGCACTTCCGTTGGACCCACCCCGTGGTCGGGACTGCCCGGGACMCACCCGCTGGACCCACCCCGTGGTCATCCCTGACCACAGGCACCTCCCGGGGATTGAGGTCTTCTCGCGGGATCTGGGGCTCGGAGGACGTCTTCTCGCGGGATCTGGAGCAGCGCCGGCCCAGCCTGGGTCAGGGCTGCCCCCGGGCTGCTGACCGGAGGGGACCGTCAGCCCCACAGCAGCTTCTGGTTGAGCCCGATGACGTCGCCGACGAARCTGTCGGCGCCCACGAAGTCGCCGGCGATGATGTTGGTGCAGCGGGCGCCGGGCCCCGGGCACTGCTCGCGGACCCAGGCGCTGAGCGCGGACAGGCTGGACAGGGTCACCTGCTTCAGGGACCCGGCCGGGTGCGCCAGCACGTACTCCAGGTCCTCGGTGAGGTTGGTGCCGGCCACGAACAGGCCCCCTGCGGGACACGAGCGTGAGGGACGCGGGCCAGGCCGCCCCCTTGACCGCCCCCTCCRTGGGCACGGGTCGCCGCGGGCACGGGTGGCCGCGGCCCAGGCAGAGGGAGTCGCGGGGAAGGGCCGGCCTCCTACCCGGGCGGCCGCGGCTCTTCATGTCCTCCAGGTAGCGGATCAGGGCCTCGGACTTCACCTTGTTGCCCCACCAGTAGGGGATGCCCGGCCACAGCTCCGGGTGCCGCCGCACCGAGGCCTCGTCCTCGTAGGACAGCAGGACCTGCTGGCCCCGCGCCCACAGCTGCCGCAGCGTGGGCAGCTCCTGCAAGGGACGGGTCACTGGGTGCCGGGTGACGGGGGCCTGGGGCTGCGGTGGCGCCATGGCTGAGTGACCCAGGAGGGCACCTGCAGTGACCCAGGGCCCTGAGACCCAGGAGGGCCCCTGCAGGGACTGGCCCGGATGCAGGACACTGCTACAGCTGACCCCTGGCTGTGCTGAGGGTGACCTGTGTCCCCAGCCCACACTCCAAGCCCCCACCCCCCAGGGCCTACTGGGAATGGCCCTGCGGGTCTCATCAGCTGCATGGGTCACTCTGCAGGGGCCAGGCCCTAATCCCGTGACGGGTGCCCGGTGCTGTCTAAGGGGGTGTTGGGCACAGACGCGTGGGATGCCAGGGCCACAGCAGGACACCCCCAGCAGCTGGAGGGTGGCCGCATCCTCTCTGGACCCCAGTCAGCACTGGGGCTGGCCTCTGGCCTCCAGGGCTGCGTCTCATGTCCTGAGYCCCGGCTGGGTGCCAGGTGAGGGCACCGAGACCCTGCAAGTGCCCGGTGGGTGACACAGACCATGGCGTTGCTGCACGCTTGCCCCAGAGGCCACCCCTGCCAGGCTGCCCGGCCCCCCTCACAGGGAAGCAAGAAGGCCCTGGTGACCGGCTTGTCCCCGCCAGACCAGACACACACACCAAGCCCTGGACACAGTCACCCTCCTCACCCCTCGGGGGCACAGCATGTCCCCAAAGATGTTCTTGATGCAGGCCACCAGGTACTCATGCAGGTCCTCCGTCATCCCCTCGAAGTTCCTGCAGGCCAGGATGACCACCTCCCGGGGGTGCTGCTCCAGCCACTCGGAGATCTCCGTGAGGGTGTCCTGGGTGAGGGGCCAGGGCTCAGTCGTGCCCAGAGGGCAGCCGGGCCAGGGGCCTCCTGGGAGGTGGGCCTCCTCTGCTGCAGACGGGAGGCCGGGCTGCCCAGAGGACACACCGCCTCCGGGGAGGGGGCGGGGGGAGCCAGCAGGAGGGAGGGTGGCCCAGGCACAGGAGGGCATGCACGGTCCTGTGTGCACGGACACGTCTGTTCACGGGTGTGAGTGCCCACGGAGCATATCTGTTCACAGGTGTCCGTATCCGTGTCTGTGCACATGCCTGTATGTGCGTGTTGTGTGCATGCACATCTATGTGTGCGTGTCAGCACATGTGAATCTGGATCAGTGTGCTGCCCTGTGTTCACGCGTACACAAACGCATACGTGTCCATCTGCATGGCACATGCATGTGCGTATCTGTGTGTCTTCGTGCACGTGTGTTTGTGCATGTCTATGTGCGAATGTATGCTGGGTGTCTACATTTCTGCATGTGTCCGTGTCACATGCGTGTGTCTGTGTCACATGCGTGTGTACACGTGTGCATGTGTCTGTGTACAAGCACACTCAAACACAAGCCTCTGTGAGTCAAAGGTGTGGGGTCCCAAGGCTCCTGTGCGTGAGCCAGGCCAACGGTGCAAAGTGACCCAGAGTAGGTGCTTCTAGACTGGGAGCCCGGGTGCAGTGGGGACCCAGGGTGGGGACACAGGGAACAGCCCGCAGGCTTTGGGAGCACAGCAGCTTGCCCAAAGCCTGGGCATCAGGAAGACAATGGATTCAGAAAGCCTAACGGGGTCTGGGGGCTGGTTCCGCCCACTTTGCAAACGTGGGGAGTCTCTGGGAAGCCTGGGGCCACGGAGCGGGGAGACCACCAAGCCCAGGGGGGCGCTGTGCAGGCTACCTCCGAGGTCTGACCACCAGACTGGACCTGCACGTGGCTGCCCCGCCCCTTGGACAGTGTAGGTGTCCTGCTCCACCCCCTGGCCTGCACGTGGCTGCCCTCCCCTGGCAGCCGACCTCCTGCCGCACCCAGGCCCCCGTGTACCTCCACCAGCGCCGTCGTGTACACCATGTGCACGAAGTGCAGGTTCTTCTCCGAGCCCTCCAGCATGTGCGCGATGCGCAGGTCCAGGTACCGCACCCCGGCGTCCAGCTGCTCCGTGACGTTCAGCGCCTGCCGAGGGACGCCCCGTCATCTCTGCCCGGGCCAGCGGCCGCTCCCTCCTGGGCGAGTGACCCTGTCCCTGGGGCTCAGGAGGCGCTGAGGTTGTGCACTGTGCGGCACTGTTTGGGGACCCCTGCTGGGTGTCCGCTGAACCGCAAGCCACGCGGGGCCAGAGCTGCCCCGGGCCCCACCCTGGGGAGACCTGCTCCGGGGTGAGCAGCCTCAGCCAGGCAGAGTGGGAGGGCCATGCAGTGGGAGTGGACAGCCCTCGGGCAGGAGAGGATGACCACCAGAGGACAGGTGTGGGGGGACGCCCCCCTGCAGGGCCACTGTCTGCAGGGCCACTGTCTGCAGACCCCTGGCAGGATGAGGAGATGCCCCCTGCAGGTTCTGACCCCTGACAGGTGCTCCTTCCCCACCCGGCAGGTCCCCACAGCTCCTGCTGTCCCGGTGGTCACTAAGACGCAGAAACAGTACATTCAACAGGACAGAGCTGGACGTTGGGGCCAGTCTTGTGTCCCTGGGAAGTTCCTGGCCCTCAAACCTTTTGTCACCAACAGTCTTCGGACAGGAGGCAGAGGAGGAAGAGTGGTCCACTCCTCCCCAGGGTGGGCCCCGCGTCGTGCCAACCTTCCTTCCTCCCCAGAACGGAGGGGCGCCCCTTTCCCCGGCCTCTCCAGGGGTGGCTGAGGCCAGCTGAGCTCCAGGAGGCCCCTACTGCACAGCATCAAATCAAACTCCCTGGTGGGTCTTAGGGCACCTGCCCCACCTGGGCAGAGGGCTGGGTGCAGGAGGGGGCACCTGGGGTGAAAGCAGAGATGCCCTTCTCTCCGTTGGGACCAGAGGAGATGGCCTCGGCCCTGGGGCAGGGAAGAGACCCCCCCCACACACCTGCCCTGGAGCAGGGACGGGTGTGATGCTGCTCAGTGACGAAGCCCTGCCTCTCCACCACCTGGGGCGGCCTCAGGATGGCCGAGGTCTTGCTCTCCCTCCATCTCCGCATGAGGCAAGAGCGCCCACCAGGGGCACCTGCTGCCTTGTGCCGAGCGACGGCCCTGCCGTCCACCTCCCGGCCCCAAGTGGCCCTTACCTGGGTGACAGACCACTTCAGCACCACGGGGCGCGTCACACATGGCACCACCTTGCTCAGCAGCTGCAGCAGGCGCGACTCGCTGTGGGACACGGGGGACTTCTTGTTCAGACAGTAGGTCATGGTGTCGTGGCTCCCTGGAGGAAACACGGACGGCCATCAGTCCYCCAGCTGCAGCCCCCAGCTGCCCTCACAGCCAGCGGGTGGACAGCGCCCCAGACACGCCCACCTGCAGCCTGGGCAGGGGCCCTGCGTGGAGACCCCGTCTCAGCCCCTGCCCTCCAGGGCTGGGGGTCACGACGCCCATGATCCTAAGCCCTGGTTTGTGTGACTTGTTACATCAGCCCCAGGACGTGAGGACGTGTTGACTGCAGAAACACGAGTGTGCGGATGAGAGGACTGTCCCTGGGCGTTATGGGAGGACCGTCCCTGTGCGTCGTGGGAGGACCGTCCCTGTGCGTCATGGGAAAAGAGTTCCTGTGCGTCACGGGAGGACCGTCCCTGTGCGTCATGGGAGGACCATCCCTGTGCGTCACGGGAGGACTGTCCCTGTGCGTCATGGGAGGACCATCCCTGTGCGTCACGGGAGGACTGTCCCTGTGCGTCATGGGAGGACCGTCCCTGTGCGTCGTGGGAAAAGAGTTCCTGTGCGTCATGGGAGGACCATCCCTGTGCGTCATGGGAAAAGAGTTCCTGTGCGTCATGGGAGGACCGTCCCTGTGCGTCGTGGGAAAAGAGTTCCTGTGCGTCATGGGAGGACCATCCCTGTGTGCTGGGAGGACTGTCCCTGTGCGTCATGGGAGGACCATCCCTGTGTGCTGGGAGGACTGTCCCTGTGCGTCATGGGAGGACTGTCCCTGTGCGTCATGGGAGGACCGTCCCTGTGTGCTGGGAGGACTGTCCCTGTGCGTCATGGGAGGACCATCCCTGTGTGCTGGGAGGACTGTCCCTGTGCGTCATGGGAGGTCCATCCCTGTGTGCTGGGAGGAGCGTTCCTGTGCGTCATTGACGCACATTATCGTGTGGCGTTATGTCTTCACGCATCTCTTACACAAACAACGGGACGGCTCTGCCAGCGTGACAGCCGCCCTCTCTCTGGTCATCCCTAGGACAGCCCGTCTCTCGATCCTGCCACCTGAGCCTCCTCGGTTGATCCAGATGCGCATCCTCTATCGAGCTCGTGGGGTTTTGCGTCGGGAGCTCTTTTTTAAGCTGTGGCGCACGTTACTCGTGCAGAACGGGGTTCGCTGTGGCACGGGGGCAGGTGCCTTAACACAATCCAGTGTCTCCCACCCGCAGGGCCTCCCTCCTCCCCCGGCCGTCCTCCGCTGCTGCCTGCCCTTCTGGTGCTGTGTGAGCGTGTGGCGCTGGGACCGAACCCAGGGCTCTCCACCACTGAGCCGAACCCCAGCCCTGTCTAGTTTCTAGCTCGAGACGGGGTCTCGCTGAGTTGCTGAGGCTGGCCTCTGACGTGCATCCTCCTGCCTCAGCCTCCGAGTCGCTGGGATGTCAGGCGTGGCTGCGGCGCCTTCTGCCCTCACAATGTCTTTGGGTTTTGCTGTTTGTTCCCCCCTGGCTTCCACCTGTGCGAGAAGCCAGCAGGACTCTCTTCACACCCCTGCCTTTGCCGTGCAGAGGCTTTTAACAGGGCGCCATCCCGTCTACCGATTCTTGGCTTTATTTCCTGGCTTTTGCAGACCCCGGAGGAGCCCTGCTGGTCTCCGTCGAGCGCCGACCTGGGTTTTCTCCTAGCGGTGCAAAGGGTCTCGTGCTTAGATGCGCGCACTTAGGACAGAGGCATCCGCTGTCAACCCACGCGTTATCCGCGCGGCCTTCCCGCCGGCAGAGGGCGCCCGTTTCCCCGTCCTTGGCGCCTGTCCCCTGCAGTTCTGCTGTTGGAAACCATCTTACACTTCGTTTTCTGCTGAGTGACGCGGAGGGCACGTTCACAACCATCAGCAAGCACGCTGCCGCCTCAGTCATGTCTAACCGGCGTCGCCTGAACCACCGCCCACCCTCCCATGCCACCTTCCGAGCTGTGTGTGTGTGTGCGCGCGCGCACAGGTGCACCCGGCCCGGCAGGTTCCCCACCAGGACCCACCCACCATGGGGACGCCCACCTGACCGGCCTCACCTGGGATGGACAGGTGGTGCAGGGGCACATCCCAGAGCCGGGGACACAGCGCCGACATCCAGTCCGCATTTGCATTTGCGCTGGGCAGGCTCCGGAAGCTTCCAGAAGCGCTCACCCGCCCACCCATTGGAAGCCAACAGTGCAGCCTGAGAAAGGAAAAGGGTTTTTTTGTTAAACTGCTAGTTACACAGGGGTCCTGGCTCCGGGGAAAATGCAATCAATAGACTTTCCCTGGGAGGAGAGGGATGGGGTGGTGGGCTGTGCCGGGAGGGAGGGAGGGAGGGAGGGAGGGAGGGTCAGGGTCATGGGCTAAGCCCAGTCTCCCTAAGATTCCTCTGCTATGGCCCTGGCCCCAGGACCTTGGCATGTACTGTGTGTGGAGACAAGTCTTTGCAAAGGTGATGGAGGTGCAGGGAGCTCCCCAGGGTGGCCCTGACCCATAGGACTGGTGTCTTCATAAGAAAACAAGATGAGAACATAGACGCACACAGAGAGAGACCCGGTGAGGACACAGGGAGAAGACTCCTATGTGCACCTCCCCCACCAGCTCACCCACTGTAGACCACCTATGCACCTCCCCCACCAGCTCACCCACTGTAGACCACCTATG